GGTAAAGTTATATGTTGTTTATTGCTGCCAATTAATAATGCAAGTACTGCTGAATTTTTTCTTCAGTTTGCTGTTTGCATTTGAAGAAGTCATAGGTAATTGTTTTGTTTGCAATTTAATAATGTAAATTCAGGATTTTTGTTTCTTCAGTTTGCTGTTTGCATTTGATGAAATCATAGGTATTTCGTTGTTTCCAATTCAATAATACAAAATCTAATTTTCATTTTGCTATTTGCAGTGCTCATAGGCGTCGCGGGAAGCGTCACAGTTCCCGGAGTCATCGATAGCGTTTTTAGAGTATGAGTTTGTAAAATAAATTATATATATTTTTTATGAATAATTTCATTTTTTATTTAATATTTGGAAGAGAGATTTTTGGGATTTTTTTTTGATTGAGAGATTTTTTGGGATTTGATTTGATTTTAACTAAGAGTATTTTTGTCACAATAAAAATTATTAATTTATTAAAATATGGAAATTTTGACTTGTATCTACACACATAAATTATAATATAGAGGGACCTATAGCAAATTGCCCCCAATATTTATTGAGATTCTTAATCCTTGTACAGAAGCTAAAAACGACAATTATAAATGAGCGGAGAGAATATTAATTATATACATTTGTTGAGTTTTACTAAGAGCTCACTTAATAGCATTGCAAAGGGTAATTTGGGGCTTTTCTATTAAAAAATAGGCTACTAATTAGATTTCGTAATCTGTGTAATTTTGTGTGCCATTTAATTTGGGAATGAGGTTGTATGTTATATGAAAAAAAAATACTCCTTTGGACCATATTAGATTTTGTTGGATTATGTTGCATTGTGTTGTTCATGCGGGTGTGTTGGGATTTTTATTGTTGAATTTGAAACAAGAAACTATAGTAATTTTCCAAAATTCTCAAAATTATGAGCTATTCTGGAATCGGAATGGATTTTTGAATTCTGAATTTATTAAAATGAAAATTGTGTAACACCCCTATTTAATTTTCGAGTAAAAGACTCGATGAATGGAGAATAATAATGGCGCTCTGCCTTTTTTTTTTCCCTCTTAATAGAATCAACAAGAATATATTTGTAGAGTGGTATTAAAGATAAGATCCTATCTATAAATGTGTAAAGGAAGCAACTTACTTTACCAAAAACACGAGTTATATACACATCCGCTAATATAGATCTCCATAGCATGTGTAATAATACTTCAAAACCTAACATATGTACATATTTTTACCAACATAATCGATCACTCCATCACTACACCAAAACGACAACCACACGAACAACCAATAATAAATATCATATGAAAACAACTTCAATCCAAACGAAGTACTCTAGTTCAATAGAATACACATTAGCTAGCAAAAAGCAAAATAAAGCTCACACCCACGGATCATCGGCCTCCCACTGAACCTCCAGCAATCTGCCTCTCAAGCTAGAGGCTTACCTAGGATTAAATTTACCTGCAATGCAGAAATGTATGAGCTAATGCCTAATAAGCATCATGCATGGACGTGAAGGTAGTTATGCAACTCATATCCCTTACCACTGATACCTCACCGCATGCCACTCTGACCTCTATAATATTGTTTGGGCTCTTAGCCTACTGTTGTGTACCGACTCCACACAGGATAATATAAGTCCACGTATGGACGGTCATAGAGACTAAATATAGGCTACACAGGTAGGGTCACTTCTACTCCACCCATCACATAAAAAGGTCACTCGGATCAGAAATAGGCTACAAAAGCAGATCAACTCCTCTGTCATCCATATATAGGGCATGTCAATATTTTTCTGACCATCTATAAGGATAGTTCACTCATGTCTGTCCAGCAGTCGCAACCAGTGCATGCACGCGGAACAGTCCCCTGGGTATTGCATATAAATGGTTCACTCATGTCAGTCTAGTGGTCGCAACCACTGTAAGCACGCGTGACTATCCATCGTACAATAACCTCGCCACACAAACAATAGCTAACCTAATCTCAACTCAAACGATATATATATATATATATATATATATATATATATATATATATATATATATATATATATATATATATATATA